TTGGTCTTTGTTTCTCTTCGTTGTCTTGTGTTTGCATGCTCGACTAGTTTTTTTTTTCCTTTCCGAAAGCGTCTGTTTGTTTTCATGAGGTACAGGTCTGTATATTAGGATCCCAGGTCATTTCATTATAATTATATTATAATAAAGTTCGGATATAATACGCGCTGTTAATGGCTGAAAGAGCGTGTTCTATTAGATTACGAAACACGGAGCTGAGCTAAAGCTGTCCGCCATCGGCCAATTTGTACTTCGACCATTTCTCAGACTTCTCTCTACTTTATTTTTCGTTAATTGAAAGTGAAATTTCGGAACAAACGACCCGGCAAGTAGCTACAGAAGAACCAAACAAACGTTTGCAAACAAGCCAAGCGCCGTAATTAACGTTATCATTACTTGAGCAGAGACAAAAATCCTCTAAGAGAAAACGAAAAGGACTGTTTGAATGTTTTCGTGCTGAGTCAGATTGTTGACTTTAATACGGTAATAAAACTGAAACAAAGGCAACACTCGCATAGTATATAAATTTTCGTATTCAAAAACAAACAGAACAAAAATAAAAGGAATAATAAAACCTGAAAATATAACCAAACTAGCAGAACTGTTAAAATTCAAACAGATCATGATAGTGTGAAGTAACTGCTGATCTCCGGTCATCACAGTGAGGCATGCCTCAGATATCTCAGAAAGAACAACTAAGGGCCTATTCTAATGTCCTTTCTGATAGGTTGAGTGGAAGGCCACATCAGGCACAACAGCCGTATGTTACGGTGCTGTCACCCGAGCGATCTTTAAGTTCCTAGGAATTTGGCTCTCGTTCATTCATAAAACATACACCTCGGGAAGTTTGCTTACTAATTGCCATTTGAAAAAACTTGCATGTTTTTGTAAGACACGATTTGGGCTGATTTCACCGTACATTTCACTTTCAGATTCTGTATCAAAAATAGAAAACCTCAGGCAAAAATGTTTTTAAACTCGAGTTGCCGAACTATTTAAGTTTGTGAACTCTTACAGATTATGAAATTTAATGGTTTGACATTTTTGACGGCCGAAGTCTTATTCAAACAGTCGGACTATTTGAATCATTTTAGCACGGATTCCAATTGGCTCATTGTGGCATGTTTTGTGGGAGTATAGAACATACTAACGACACTTTTTTTTGCTTCGAAAATTATAATTTGCTTTGAATAGTAAGTAGTTCGTTGGGAATTTGACGGAATCTTCATTATTGAACAAATGTTAAAAGAAGTAGCGAGAAACAACACTCGACTACGTCTCTGGCCGCTTTCTAAGTGCTTTACAAAAGACCAGAAGATAGTCAAGGCTTCTTTATTTGTTAATTAATGGCGAGTATGGAGCACCTATTGAAGTGATAGTTTGGAAAATTTGAACGAAAGAGGTCGACCTTCCCTGCTTTCGTTTCTTTATCAATTTATACAAGCAGATCGGTCCCTGTCTTTGCGACCTTCATTGTCTATTAAATGATTCATTTTTGGATTGTACCTGGTTCCATTGTTGACATTCATTAACTCACTGATTATTCAACACACTTAACTCCTGATTACCTTCTGATCTTTATCACAGACATATGTGGATATCGTGGACATGGACAAGTATGATTACGATAAGTACAAGTTTATCGATGATCGTGGAGCTGTTGCAATCCGAGAAGATGCAGGACCAGATGAGCAAGGAGCAGCTTCCGCAAATCCCAACCGTGAGGTGGGTGAACACGGTGCTATTGCACATCCTTTTGTGGTTGAAATAGACGATGGCGCTACAGCTTTCCCTCTCACAATTAGCGTAGAAGACGAAGGAGCAGCTGCAGCAAATCCCGACCGAGAAGTGGGTGAACACGGTGGTACTGCGCATCCTTTTGTGGTTGCAATAGACGGCGGTGCAACAGCTTTCCCCTTCAGAGTATCATTCTAGCACGGATTCCAATTGGCTCATTGTAGCATGTTTTGTGGGAGTATAGAACATACTAACGACACTTTTGTTTGCTTCGAAAATTAGAATTTGCTTTGAATAGTAAGTAGTTCGTTGGGAATTTGACGGAATCTTCATTATTAAACAAATGTTAAAGAAGTAGCGAGAAACAACACTCGGCTACGTCTGGCGTTTCCTCCTAGATCTCTCTGGCCGCTTTGTAAGTGCTTTACAAAAGACCAGAAGATAGTCAAGGCTTCTTTATTTGTTAATTAATGGCGAGTATGGAACACCTATTGAAGTGATAGTTTGGAAAATTTGAACGATAGAGGTCGACCTTACCTGCTTTCGTTTCTTTATCAATTTATACACGCAAATCGGTCCCTGTCTTTGCAATCTTCATTGTCTAATAAATGATTCATTTTTTTTGGATTGTTCCTGGTTCCATTGTTGACATTCATTAACTCACTGATTATTCAACATACTTAACTCCTGATTACCTTCTGATCTTTATCACAGACATATGTGGATATCGTGGACATGGACAAGTATGATTACGATAAGTACAAGTTTATCGATGATCGTGGAGCTGTTGCAATCCGAGAAGATGCAGGACCAAATGAGCAAGGAGCAGCTTCCGCAAATCCCAACTGTGAGGTGGGTGAACACGGTGCTATTGCACATCCTTTTGTGGTTGAAATAGACGATGGCGCTACAGCTTTCCCTCTCACAATTAGCGTAGAAGACGAAGGAGCAGCTGCAGCAAATCTCGACCGAGAAGTGGGTGAACACGGTGGTACTGCGCATCCTTTTGTGGTTGCAATAGACGGCGGTGTAACAGCTTTCCCCTTCAGAGTTAACGTGGCAGACGAAAGAGCAGCTGCAGCTAATCTCGACCGTAAAGTGGGTGAACACGGCGCTACTGTGCATCCTTTTGTGGCTGCGATAGAAGACGGTGCTAGAGCTTTCCCTCTCGGTATCAAAGTAGGAGAAGAAAGTGGGGCAGCGCACTCTTTTAAGAGTGATGAAAAAGATATTGATGCCTCAGCGTACCTTCACGAGAGTGATACTTTACCATACCTCAGCGAGAACGAGGAGGAAGATTTTGAGGACTCTGAGTGCCCTCATGCGCTTGAGGAAGAAGATATTGACGACCCTGAGTGCCCTCTTTTGATTGAGGAAAAAGATATCGATCTTTTGCCATCTTCTTTGGAGATGGACGATAACGGTCTTGGTACTCTGGTATGCCCCCCTGTGACTGATGCTGATAATCAAGATGCTGCAGCAATACAGTCTGTAAAGGAGGCAAGAGGTGATGAAGAACCTAAGACTTGCCAACTTGAGAACACAGAGGATGAACAAGACGATATTGGAAAACATATGGAGGACCGAGGGGATGCTGTAGACCTTTGTGATGAAGAGGTTGGTGTGCAAGAGAGTAATGGTTATCAACTAACGGCCGTGGATACAGACGAAACCGGAAATGACGAAGACGAGGAGTCATCCGAAGCAACTCCTGAA